CATGCGACACGCTTGTCGCAGTCGCAGAAAGTTGAAGTTGGCTCAACTCTGTACGACAAGGGTTCTTGCGACTGCGACAACCTTACGACCGGAAACAGTGTTCGTACGACATTCTCATACGACATACGACACGATCTGTGCGACTATTGTAGACGAGGCTTTAATGCTACAACTTGGTATGTGGCACAACTCCCCTTAACTATGCAATTCAACATGAGAAAATGGAAATTGCTGAATTACTTTTCAATCATGGAGCTAACATTAACGCCAGTAACGATAATGATATAACTTTTTTTTATATTGCAGCTGAGAAAGGATATTTACAGACTGATGAACATCTTTTAAAACATGGAATTTAATTGGAGAGTTAATTCTACATATATCTTTTCCTTTTCAGGTGATACACCACTGTGTTTTGCTGTTAAAAGAGGACATGTAGATAGTGTTAAGATGCGTATGGACAGAAGCACTAACATTAATGCTGAAACTCGGAATGGCACAACTCTGCTTCACAATGCGATTGCACATGAAGAAATGGAATATGCTGAAGTACTTTTAAATCATGGAGCTAATGTTAACGTCTGTAACAGTAATGGTATAACTCTTCTTCATACATATTACAGCTGAGAAAGGATATTTACAGATTGATGAACATCTTTTAAAACATGGAGTTTATATTAATTCTACATATATTTCTTCCTGTACACCAGGTGTTACACCACTGTGTTTTGCTGTTCAAAGAGGACATGTAGATGGTGTTAAGATGCTTATAAACAGAGGTGCTAACATTAATGCTGAAAGTCGGAATGGCACATCTTCGCTTCACTATGCGACTGAAAATAAAGAAATGAAAATTGCTGAATTACTTTTAAATCATGGAGCTAACGTTAACGCCAGTAACACTTACGGTATAACTTTTCCTCATATTGCAGCTAAGAAAAGATATTTACAGATTGATGAACATCTTATAAAACATGCAGTTTATATTAATTCTACATATATCTATTCCTTTACACCAGGTGATACACCACTGTTTCGTGCCATTAAAAGAGGACATGTAGATGGTGTTAAGATGCTTATAAACAGAGGTGCTAACATTAATGCTGAAACTCGGTATGGCACAACTCCGCTTCACTGTGCGATTCGACTTAAAAAAATGAAAATTGCTGAATTACTTTTAAATCATGGAGCTAACGTTAACGCCAGTACCAAGAACGGTATAACTTTTCATATTGCTGAAGAATAATATTTACAGATTGATGAACATNTTTTAAAACATGGAGTTTAATTGGAGAGTTATTTCTACATATATCTCTTCCTTTTCAGGTGTTACTCCACTGTTTCTTGCTGTTAAAAGAGGACATGTAGATGGTGTTAAGATGCTTATAAACAGAGGTTCTAACGTTAATGCTGAAACTCGGGATGGCACAACTCCGCTTCACGATACGATTGAAAATAAGAAAATAGAAATTGCTGAATTACTTTTAAATCATGGAGCTAACGTTAACGCCAGTA